CAGGAATGCAGGAAGTTCACCTAATTTTATTTTTTCATCCCGTGTAAATGATCAAATTTGTGGTAAGAAAAGGAGAGGAACTGCTTTCTTTCCCTTCCCTTCTCGATCCAGATATTTCCCTGTGGCTTCTATATGAGATATTTTCACCCCATGTTAATGATTAAGCATCTTGCATTGATTTGTGATTGTCTAGTTACGACTTTGGGAGGCATTATAGTGAATCATTTGTTTTGATGGTCTACTTGCCTCATTAATGCACTTAGCATGATTACTGTGCTGGTTTCTGCAATTGGATGACTTGTTATCTAGAACCTTATCAATTTTTTCATGGTCTATCAAAGGATCAACTAGAGTTATGGAGTAATGGTACGACTCTCATGGCATTGTAACTGTTCCTCAATTCCTTTTGTTTTTCTTTTTTTTTTCTTGCTACTAACTCATTTTGGCTCAAATGGTCTGGTTGGTGTTCAAGTTATCAAAGATAGAGTAGCACTGCTGAGCAGTTCATTTCTACTCATTGATGCATCCTATATGAAGTTTACCTTTTCATCTGGTTAAATGGAACTTAGATTTGCTCTCATGTCTGTGAATATCGAATTATTAACCTGTAGATTGCTGTGACGGAAGTGATGAATATGATAGTGGCATCAATTGCCCCAGAACCTGCGTCATGGGAGGAAATTTGGAGTATAGGGCTGGAAATTATATCTCACGTATTGATCTCAAAGAATCGAAAAAGGGACTTATTTCAGAGGAATTATTACAGAAGGCTAGAGGTATAAGCGGCAATGATATACATAATATATTAAAGTGTAGGGAGAATAATATAATAAATGAGCTTGCACTTATTCTTACCAGGATTGAAGGTGATAATCATCCTACAGGTGGTTATCCTTGGCTGTGTAGTGATTTACAGAATATTCAACCGGCAGATCAAGTCCAAAAGAAGGCGTTACCATTGAAGAAAACAGCAGCATCTCCCCAATGTCTCTGGTAAAGTTCGCTCTTCTGCACTTTCAGTTCTGCTTGGCATCTCAAAATTCTAAATTCGCACATCATGGTTTATGCATTTATCCTTGTTTCCATATCACCAATTGCAGGTTCCATAGATTTGTTCCGGTTGTTATTGCAAGACCAGCTTTTGCCTAGGGGCATTTTTTCTTTATACAAGACATTCATCAACCGAGCTTGACAGGATTTGAACTTGATATGGAGGTTGATGTATAAGTTACACTAAATATACAAGAGCATATGTTATTGAGGAAATAACAGGTTATGTCAAGCAATATAATGCATTGTATATACTTTAACATGGGTAAGTTGAAAAGGCTTTGGTTAATGAAATGACTTGAGCATGAATGCTCTTCCAGATTTTTCATATTTTGTAGCATACACCTCTGAATGAGAACGAAAAGGCATGCTGGATTTAGGCTTATCTTTGGCTCTTGTTAATAGATGGAGCTGCACTCCAACATTTTTTGCTCCACCTTTTCCTCATTTTTTTTTTTCGCTTTTATCCGCCTTGAATCGTCCCTGAAATATGCTATTTCGCTGCCATGAAACTAGTGAATTTACACTAGTTTCTGAGGCCTAGACTAGACATGGAATGCTGGTTCGCTGAAGTTATTTCCTCAGCAAGAAAGATCCCATAATACTAATACTAATAATAATAACAACAAACGTGCACTAAATGCACTATGATCTAATAAACTATGAGCCAAACATATCATCCTTTCCACACATCAGGACTCTGAGAGAACAAAATAAATTGATATAATATTGTGATGCAAAACAATGTTATATATTGGTTAAAATAAGACGTTTACATAACTTTCTTTCTTCTGGAATTTTAACTTCAACAGAAGGATTCCTTTATTCACTAAAAGAAGCAAACCAAGAGTTCTGGAGTTTCTAATATAGACCACCAGATACCTGCTTTTCTAGCTTTATATATATATATATATATATATATATATA